CGCCGTCAAACAGCGAAGACTGCCGAATTCGCCATGGCACGGAGGGTGATAGAAGCGACGCTTCAAGATAGGGCCACAATCCGAATGCGAGGGCCGCGACGGCGAAGACGTCTTGATCGTGGGGGCCGCTCGCTAACGGCTAGGCCGTGGGCGGGTGTCAGTGCGATCAATGCGTCATTGTCAGAGCAAGCCCCCCCGCGTCCCTAGGGGGGCTGGAGGCGCGGGAACAGATTTTTAAAAAATCCTTGGAGGTCGCCTGGCCCCTGCTCGAAGGCGATCGTTTCGCCCAGAAGAGCCGCGCGAGCCTGCCGATCGACGCGGGGCTCCTGGCCAGAAGCCGTCTTGATCATTTCGGTGGCCTTCCGGAGTGCCCAGTCCCTGGCCAAATTGACTTGGGATTTCGCCGGTTTAACGGCGACGACGCGACCGTTGGACGACGGAGTAGAACGCTGCGTCTTGGCCACGTTCAAGAAAGCTGCGGCTTCTGGCGGAGTCCGGAATTCAAGGTACGAGGCGCGGATTATCTTCTGGCTGTTCTTCGGGCCGGAGAAAAAGTGCCCGAGGGTCCCGTTTGGCACGTTCGGCGGCGTCGCCGCGTGCTTGTTGATCTCTTGGACACGCACGTTGAAATCGCCCCCCTGTCGAATCCGTCGAAAGCGACGCGGCGATTAAAAGCGTCCATCGCGCTCAACAGAGTCAAGTGACGCTTGGATGATCCGGCCCCACTGGTCTGCAGCTGCTGCATCCGCTCTCTCAGGTCCGCCATCTCATCCCGCACTGGTTTCAGTGCTTCCTCGATGGCCGTGGCCGTTTCTCCCCGGATGGTGGGGTGGAGGGCGTTCAGAGAAGATTCCGTGGCCGTCTGGTTGATCATGAGCTGACGCATGTTGTAGATTGCCGTTTCGCCCGGAGAGCTCTCTGCAAGCAGCTCCGGAAGTGGGCTGCCGAGTGCGGCAGGCGCGCCGGGGCTGCCGCGCCCAGGGCCAGTCCCGGGGGCCGCGTGCACGCCGCCCGAAGGGCCATTGCACGCACCAGCACTGCCACGCATGGGGCCTGTGCTGGGAGTAGCAGCTGCGATGGCAGCGCCGCTCGGCTCAAGACCGGGGCCGCCGCCCGAAGGGCCAGTCCCAGGAGCCGCATGCGCGCCGCCTGAAGGGCTTTTGCATGCGCTGGCACTGCCGCCCAAGGGGCTCGTGCCAGGAGCAGCTGCCACGCTGGCAGCGCTCGGCTCTGCGCTGCCGGCTGCTCAGCATCCCGCGCCTAGAAAGGCAGGCGCAGGGGCGAAGTGGCCGGCGCCCTTCCCGACAGACTCGTCCATGATAATTTCTGAATCAATTTTCTGTCGGGGGTGCGGAGACAGAGCGGCCTTCGCAGCATCGCGGCGTTCTCGAAGACGGACTACATGATCTCCCTCTGCTATGTCCAACTGAGGCTTCTGGTTCCCGCCGACGACGGCAGGCTCGGCACCCGCAACGCCGGGCATTTCGAGATGCGAAGGACTGCAACTCGAACAAATCAAACTGTGAGCGGTACAATGCGCGGACTGGTGTGCTGGAGTAAGTGGTGATATGACCGCGCCAGCGACGAGCTTCTGGTATGGCCGCCCCAGCGGCAGGCTTCGAGAAGATAGCTCGCGCCGAAAACTGGAGTGTTGAGCCATAATTTTCCTAGACTTGCTACTGTTTTTTTTTGCTGAGGACATCGACTGGGAACCCGGGAGCCCGGAAACCCAGACATCACCGAAAGACACGGAACGCTCGATGCGCGTCTTAGTTGCGTCGGTCCTGGCCATTTTTCTTCTTTCTTCCGCCTCGCCTCTCTTGCTTCTCCTCGTTTCCTTCGCCGGCACTCCGGCGTCTGGATGGCCCTCTTCATTTGTGATTTCCGGACTTCGTTCTTTGTTCGGTGCTGGGATTGTTCAGCGTTGGGGACCTCCTTCCCGACAGCGTTTTCGCAGCCCGTAACCGTTCTGTTTCTGACTTTCAATCGTTTCTCCAGGTTCTGCTTTCGCGACATGCAGATTCTCTCCGTCGCTGCCGCGACTGGTCGCCCCCGGCTTGAGGCTGGTGCCACTTTTGTCTGCCCTTGCTCTCCCTCCCCCCCTCCCCTTCTTTCCCCCTCCCTCTCTCCTCTTGCGTGCTGCTGTCGTCGCTGTCGTCCCCCGTCTCCTCTCCTCGGCTCCTCCTCCCTGTGCGGGTTCTGAGCAGTGCTCGGCCCACGGGCGTATTCTCGCTTGGCGCATGTGGCGCCTGCCCCTCTCCTTCTCTTCCTTTCTCCCTCCTTGCTGCTTGCTGTGCTGTTCCCTTCCTCCTCCGTCCCTCCTCCCTCTCCTTCTCTCCCTCTCTGCCGCTCTCTCTCCTTTTCCCTCGTGGCCTGCCACATGTTGGAGAGCGTCTTCAGCCAGCGTCCGGTCAGCCGTGATGTCTTGGCACGATCCGGAAGTTTAGAACGTTCAGATTTTTGTTCGTCTACTTCGCTTCGCACAGTTTGATCAGAAGTCGAGCTTCAGATGCGTAGCCAGCGCAGTTTCCAGAATCAATGACGCAATCATTGTGTGTGGTTCGTTCCACGGGCCCCGTGCAGAGGGACGAGGGAGCAGTCGTTGCTCTTTGTTTGTTCGACGGCCGTAGATTTCTTACACCGAATTGTTGATTTTAAGAAGCGGTGGATCAGTGGTGGATCAAACGTAACTTGTCTGCAATTCGGAGACTTCAGATGAGATGCTTTGAAGCTGTTTTCGTGTCGCGCCAATTTCGCGGTTCAGGAGGCAGCCTTTTCGCAAGGGTGAGGTTTTCTTTGGGTTGTTGTGTGGTTTTGAAGCGTTTGGGGATATTTTTGCGTTCGTTTACGGGTTCCTGGCCCGTCGGGTGGCGTTTGAGGGCCCTTTTCGGACGCCGTGGATTACCACCGGCGAGTGGCGATGAACGCTGTTTTGCTGTTTCCCAATCCGGACGCCAAGGGCTACCGCATGGTTTCAGCATTTGCTCTCATCGACTTCCCATCTGTTCGATAGGGAATCAAGCAATGGCCTAAAAACATAAAAAGTGGAAGGCCCGCGTGGATCGTGATCGTCGCTGGACCCCCCCCCCTGGCGCGCGGAGCGCTGGGGGCGGCGCCGGAGGCGCCCCCGGGGGCCCCAGCGCCGATCCGAGAAATCCGCGCAGGAGGAGGAGGAGGAGGAGGAGGAGGAGGAGGAGGAGGAGGAGGAGGAGGAGGAGGAGGAGGACCTCTGAATTTTGATCTTTGTGTCATTCTTTGTGGCCTATTCTTCTGCGCGGGCCTGCCGTCGGAGAGCCGCGATCGCCGAGCGGTCCACGCGGTGTCAGAGGCCAGAGCTTTCCGTATCGATGACAGTCGACCGCGTGCACGAGGAAGGAGGAGGAGGAGCAGAAGGAGGAGGAGCAGAAGGAGGAATAGGAGAAGAAGGGAGGAGGAGAAGGAGGATGGGGATGAGGAGGAGGAGGACGAGGAGGAGCAGGATAATGATGATGAGGAGGAGCAGGAGGATGAGAAGGAGGAGGAGGAGGTGGAATAATAATAATGATAATAATAATAATCTGAGTACTACTACTACTACTACTACTACTACTACTACTACTACTACTACTACTACTACTACTACTACTACTACTACTACTACTACTACTACTACTACTACTACTAATAACACCTAATATTAATGATGATACTACTAATACTACTACTAATCATATTGCTATTATTATTATTGTTATGTTTAATCCAACTACTTCTTACTATTAACACTGATTATAATATGAAACATATTTCAATAGGAAGAATAATACCATAAGCAACAATAATGCAGATGCTAATAACAATAGTAATAGTCATACACACCAAAATCAGAAACATAACACTAATAATACAAATAAAATAGTATGACGAAGAAGAGAAAAAGGAGGAGGAGGAGGAGGAGGAGGACGAGGAGGAGGAGGAGGAGGAGGAGGAGGAGGAGGAGGAGAAGGATGAGGCGGGGGAGGGGGGGCAATTTCCCGAATTCCAGGCCTCTCAAACAGGAGTCTGAAGATCGCGCCGCATCGCTGAGTCATCGGCGATCTGGCTCGATTTGCTGCCCAATTCTCTGCACGCCAACGGCGCCACTGCATTGCCGACGGCGCCGACGCATCACCGATGTGCCGGCGATGTATTAGCGATACAGCGCGATCCTCCAACACCATGTTTTCGGACCCCATTCGGGAGGCCACCATGACCAACATGTCGCGGGATTTTGCCGACGCCGATTTTGGTCGTGGTCCGTGCCAGTCGTCGTCGATTCGCGAGGAAGAGTCACGTTCTGACGATGTCCAGATGGATGATGACGAAAGTCGGCACCGACGTTTCCGCGTTCAATCTTGATCATGGTCACCGCTTTTTCGGTAGCAGAAAGTCATGGGAGCCTTGTATACCACCGTAACTCCGTCTATACAGTGCATCAGCGTCGATTGGTGTCGGGAAATGGATGAGAGAAAGCGCCGATTTAGCGTCGATGAGCGTCGGTCAGCGCTTATTTAGCGTCGACTAGCGCCGATTAGCATCCATTACCGTCGATTCGCAATAGCCAACAAGATAGTTTGGGAGGCTCCTATGAGTTGCCACCGAGCGTTTTCTCCCCTGCCATCCACGAGCAATCTTATAGTGTAAGCTCCGTGGCGGACGCTTTGAGGCCCTGCCGCTCCAGAAACGACATACTACAAGTTGTTCGTATTAGGTGTTCGGTCGGACGTGCGCCTCCAACATCAGCACATCGTACTTGTATGTCCTTTCAGCGTTCCGCTTTCTCCCCCTACAGCTTGCTCGCTCGCACACGCATCGCGCTGATTACTTCGCCCAGGGGGCGGCGCAGCACGCGAGTGGGAACTAGAGGTCATAAGCTGGAGAGGAGGCCGAAGGCCTTCGAGTGCTCTCCACTCTTCCGGCTCGTGCAGGGCTTTACCTGACCTGGCGTGGCCTGACCATCTACTAACACCCGCACGACCTTCAGCCAAGCCCCTGCGCTGCCGCACCCTCCTGGCCAGCCGCAGCGCGCGCGTCCGCGCGGCCGCGCGGGCGCCGGGCGGCGCGTGGCCGCACTCTTCTGCGCGGGGGGGCGCGCGCAGGCGGGCCGCCGCCGCGGGCCGCTCGCTCTTGCCTCGTGCGTCCTTCTCCGGGAGAGGCGGCGGCCTAAGCGTGATTTCTGGCACGTGTTCGGGAGGGCTTGCCCTTCCTCCCCCCTCCTCCTCCTCGTCCTCCTCCTCCTCCTCTTCCGCCCAGGGCTTGCCCTTCCTCCCCCCTCCTCCTCCTCCTCCTCCTCCTCCTCCTCCTCCTCCTCCTCCTCCTCCTCCTCTTCCGTCCAGGAATATATATACATATATATATATATATATGTATATATGTATATATGTATATATATATGTATATGTATATATGTATATACATATATACATATATGTATATATACACAAGACTGCAGTGGCGCTTCGCGCCATGCACCTTGGTCCTTGAAGATTGCTACGCAGGCGGGAAAGGCAGGAAGGTCAAGCGGACACTTTAACGATAACTCCTTGCTGCCTTTTCTGGCATCGCCGTTATAATAATGTTGTTCGTTATCCTTCATCTATGCTTTTTTCTTCATTCTCGCCATACCCTGGGCATTCTCCCCATCCTCCTCAGCTCTTTTTGCGGAGGCTCCTCCTTGGAGAGCCTCTGGGAGCCTCACCAAAGTTCTCAAGCTTTCTTAAAGCCTTCTGGAGGACTCCTGGGCGTGTTCTGGGGGCCTCTGGGGCTTCCTAAGGCCAACCTGCCTCTAACCGCGGTCTCCCTGAACGCCCCGGTCACGATTTGGAATGCTGCCCTCCAGGCGACTTCGGACGCCCAGAAGACCGCTGGCTTGGAGCGTCGGGAAGCCGAAAAGAGGAGAACCCCAAATTCACCAAAAATATTGAATCAATGATTTGTGCTCTTGGAGGCTGCTTGGTACGTTTTGGAGCGATCTTTCGGGGTATGACGGCTTCTTGGAGCGCTTTTGTGCTGTCTTAGGGTTCTCCAGGACGTCTCCGATGACCCCCCTGATTGCCCTAGGTGTGCTGCGAAGGCTTGGCAAAACGCCCTGCGAGGCCTGGGGGGGCGCTTCGAGGCCCGTCCGAAGGGTCCCAAAGCCCCAGATCCCAGGAGTAAGTTTTTTTTAAATGGGGGGGGGGGGTGACGGGTTTTCCCCCCGCGCGGGCCTGTAAAAATATAGGAAGAGGAGATTATATATATATATATATATATATGTCATATTTATATGTATGTATGTATTTATATATATATATATATATGTATATATACATACCAGTTATTATTATATGTTTATTTGAAAGGGCCACTGCAGGGTTTGGGCCTTTGTGCCGGGGCCATTGCAGGGCTTTTGCTTTCATTTTCTGCACTGCTGCCAGCTGCTGGTCAAGATGGCCCTCGCGAGGGGCAGCGGGTCGGGCGGGCTGCGCTCTGGAAGGGAAACAAAAAACCGGCTCCCCATGCGGCGCCGTCTTCCCCGTCCCTGTCGCGCGGAGCGCGCCAGGGAGCGGGTGTCCAGCGCGGGTCCAATCAATCGGCGCCGAGAGTTGGTGTTTACGCATTTTTGCTTTCTTCTGTTCCAGTCTTCAGCGCGCGATCGCGTGCCCCCACGGACTTGTGCTCTGCGTCATCTCTTGTCTCGCGGCGTGCGCGGCGGGCACCCTTGGCAGAAGGGCAGGCAAACGTGCCACTCGGCCAGGTGGCAAGCACTGCACGGGAGGAGGTCATGTGGGTGGTGGCTGTTGTGAGGCGTAGAGTATTGCAGCAAGATCGCATGCGATTTCTCTCCCCCAATCCCCGAGATCCTCCCTCCCCGCAAAGATAGACGCTTAGAAAAGATGGGAATTCGTGGTTGCACCCCCAGGGGGCTATTCGCACGCACCTCTATCGAGGATCTTATCGTATATCCTTGAGTGTGGCTCCAATTCTGTTGTCCTTCCGAAAGCCCCCACAATGTCGGGTGCCTTGCCTCCATGCGGTGGGAAGGTAGCCCCCCTCGTCTCAGCACGAGCGGACGGCGAGGGCGCCTCTGATGAAGCCAGCATCTATTTTTCCACGCGCGTTCACCGTTGGAGAAGGCCTGCGCCTCCGTCGTCCAAACGCCCCTGCGTTGATGATGAGGTTGCGACTGGCGTCTTGGTTCTAGCAGTGTAAGCTCAACGCAGAGGTGATCCCTCCTTCCCTCTCACAGTGTCTTTCTCCAACCCCCTCTCCCTCTCCCTCTACCTCTCCTTCTCCCTCTCTCTCTCTCTCCGCCTTCGCATGTCATGTTTTTTCGTCCGTGCTCTCCATGACTGCTGGTGTTCCTTGACTCTTTGCTTGCCTTGCCTGTCCATCGGCCCTCGTTGCAAGCAATCGGAATAGCCTTCGTCGCCCTCTCGGTGGTGGCACATGGGCAGAATAGGAGGACGAGGAGAAGGAGGATGAGGAGGATGAGCAGGAGGA